CTACTTCGTATGTCCTCATTTGAATTTGGGTGTTAAACACTTGATAAAAAACAATTCCTTTAAAGTGTCCTACAGGATTTCATGTTTATTTCCAAAGTACGGATGCCAGACAGTTGTTGTGTTTGGCATGTGTTCCAGGCTTTGTGGGCATTTTTCAGGTTCTTGGTTAAGTACTTGGCATTGGCTGTGGTAAAAAGTGTCTCATGGCTTCTTATAAAAGCAATTTCTTGCTCATAAAAACTCTCAAGTGTCCCTGGATAAGTTTGCTGCTGCTCTTCTCCAAGGCGTGTTATAGCCTTACATCTCCTGTCCTCTTCAGTTTTGACCTTCACTTTGTTTGGCGTTCTGGAGTAAAGGCTGGAAATCTGATGATTTAGCAGCTCGGATTCCTGGGAAGACCAGCATGGCTGTGTTAATGGTGTCTTTGCTGATGCCAGCAGATTTTCTTACTTTCTGTTTCCCCCTGCCTTGTAGCTTTCCGTAGAGATAAGAAATAGCCAACTGTAATCCTGAGACAATGAAGGCATTTTCCCATGCAGATGGGAAGACTGGAGCTTGTTCTCTATTGTCTTCACACCTGATGCATCGCCCCAGAGCTCCTTCCTTCATCTGCTCCTCTTTCAGCCTCTCTGAAAAAAATTCAGCCCATCATGTATTTAGGTAACCATTGCACAGCCTGGTTGATCCTTGAGTTGCTGAATACTGAGACAGGCTATAAAATGAGGCTCTCTATAGGAAGGAGGGAGGATGCTGCTTGTCCTGGTGCTGAGCTGCTGTGTTACCTTGCAGACACTGTGCTTAGATCTTTCTCTGGGCAGGAACCCTTGTGAGCCAAGGCAGCCTCTCCTGTAGTTACCCACTGGATGTCTGGACACTTCTTAACACAGGTAATGTCCATCCAACCCACTGGAACTTTAGGTGGGGGAATCCAGCCCTTCCCCTAGAGAAAGAGCCGGTTCAGAGCTGATAATCTCATTATGCCTATTCAGGAACAGCTACTAGGGTTGTGTGGAATTCTTATTTAGCCCACAGGTTCAGGGAATTGCAGTGGGGTGACGTTGTAGACATCAAAGGTCGTCAAAGCCAGAAAGTAAACACACTGTTAATCTAGAGGGAGCTAGAGATGGGCTGTTTGATCACAGAACACACCCATGAAAGGAGCATTGTTCTTGTCTCCATTCCAGGTGCATGTCTTGGGACAAAACATAGGTTATGTCCATGTTCAGCATGCCCCAGTTGTGTTGCCCCATTGTTCACTTCACAGACATTTGTATTGGAACAAAACACTTGGGATCTCCTGCCAGAGCAAACCTGATCTAATGGGTGCAGGCACAAAGTCACCTTCTTCTTGGCTTAGTTGAAATTGCAACACAGAGCAGCCGGAGGTAGGTTGTACCATACCTGGAGTAGTATCTGCCAGAGCTGGTGGCATTACTTTGAGGTGGATCTGTCCTACATCAGTGCCTTGTTTTGCTTGTCTCAAGTACATTTTGCTGACAGATTGCCCTCCCTTTGAAGGACACCTCCCGTGTGTTGGTTCCCTAATCCATACCAAAGACCCACTGTTTAAATTGTTTGAAAGCACCTTACTCTCTCTGGTTTGAAACTTTTGGGGAGCTTTCTACAATCTGTTGGGTTGACAGATGTTGTGGTTTAACCCAGCTGGCAGCTTGGCCTCATGCAGCCCCTCGCCCACTTCCCCCGCACAGTGGGATGGGGCGAGAATCAGAAAAGTGAGACAGCTCGTGGGTTGAGATGAGATAGATATAATTATTTCTAATAAGTAAAGTAAGAGCTGCACACAAGCAAAGCAAACCAAGGAATCCGTTCACCACTTGCCATCAACAGGCAGGTGTTCAGCCACCTCCAAGAAATTGGGGCTCCATCACATGTAATGATTGCTTGAGGAAACAAACACTATCACTCTGGATATTTCCCCTCTTCCCTACTCTTCCCAAAGCTTTATATGCTGATCATGACACCACATACTGGGGCATATCCCTTTGGTCAGTTGGGGTCAGCTGTCCCAGCTGCGCCTCCTCCCAACTCCTTGTGTACCCCCAGCCTACTCACTGGTGGGGTGGTGTGAGGAGCAGAAAAGCCTTAACTCTGTGTAAGTACTGCTCAGCAGTAACTAACACTTCCCTGTATTATCAACTTTTTTTTTTCAGCACAAATCCAAAACATCACCCCATAGGAGCTACTGTGGGGAAAATTAGCTCTATCCCAGCCAAAACCAGCACAAGAGACCAGAAGGAGACGCAGTTTTGTGAGTGAGGAAGCTGGGACAGTAGCCTCTTGGGTAGCAGATAGAAACATGGCTTTGTGTGGATGTTTCCTTAGGTCAGGGATTTCCTGTCTTTGGAGATCTTGTCAGCCTTATTCTTGAACGGCTGGTTTATGGAAATGGTCCCTGTTCAAGCCCAGTGAACTCATACACAGACAACATTTTTCAGAAACTCAAAAAAAAATCCTGATTTATTTCCATGTGACATCGATGTTCCAATGCTTTCAGAAATCCTGACTTTGGAGTGACGTGTTGCTCTTGAAAAACTTTCAGAAGCCTATAGTTCCTGCTTTTTGACTTTATTATTTTTCAGCTGTAGTTTGAAATTCTCATTTAGATCAAGCATGAATCTTCTACCCCTTGACATTGTTAATTTGTCACTAATTAATTACATGATAGTTTAAAAAGTGGAACAACTGATTTCTGCCAGTGTGCAATTTGGGGCTATTGTGTGTATGTTGTATTTAACACCCTCTTGCTATGGTAAAAAATGGTTTCTGCATTTGTAGGACCAGGTTCTTCTGTTGTTGCAGCTTCTGAAGTTAGTTGAGATGCACCAGTTTTTAAACTACTGAGGATAAGGCCTGCGGTGCCTTAAATATTTAACCCCCTTTGTTATCTAGAGATGAACCATTTTCAAACTTGTTTTACGTGCAGACTGGTGATGTTTTGCAAAGGGAGTCTGACCCTTGTATGGCAATGCGTGAGAAAAGATGTGCTCACCTTGGGCTGTATTTTTTAATTGGACTCCCTGCAGTTCCCAGAATATGCAAACCAAAAGCTGCAAGCCCTTGTTCTAGATGCTTTTGATGTACCTGTTCGACATCTCTAAAATACACCCATGCACATAAATCCTTTGTTGGGTCATGCTGGTATAGCTCAATAGAGTTCAGTCAAGGCAGGCTGACTTTTGTTGGTTGGCATAATGGTCCACAGGTGAACACATAGGGCAAATCTTCCTGATCTTATGAACTGTGTATCAAAGCAGTTGCCCCATCTGAAAGCTAGGAGGAATGTACTCCGGGGATGCTCCACAGCTCTTGCTAAAGTGGAAGTTGCCCTGCTGTGCTGTAGAGGGAGACTGGCACCTGGCTCGTTTGGTCCTGGCCACCTCGAGGACCTCTGGATTTGCACACCCTGATACTTGCATACCCTCCAGGAGTGATTGCTGCACATACATCAGTGGCCCCATGGATAGCTCCAAGGGAGGGGTTGTTCTTTGCAGCTTCTCATCTATGGGGTGATTTGGAAATGGGAGGCTGTGAAATGTTTCTCCCTTCAGCATCACAGAAGAGCTCTGTATTTAGTCACTGGTAATCTCTGTTATGGCTCTGTGCCTCTAATCCCCTGCTCCAGTATCCTCCCTGGAAAAGATGAGAAGTGCAGAAATTGGTCCAGCTGACGTGGTTGGGTCAGCAGGATTACAGTGGATCCCCCCCTCCCTTTCCTATAGGGCTGGCTTTGAAACTTCTCTGCTGGCCCACAGTGCCACAGCTGTGCTGTGTGTGCATGTGAAACCCCTGGTAAGGTAGTATGACTTGACCCTATTCCTTTTGCAAGGGAACAGAGTATATCATTGTGGGACTGTTTCTGCCATAGCATGCGACTTGCTTTGAGTAGGTTAAGATGAGGTATTGCTGCAAGAGCAGGGCTGGAGGGAGTAAAAATAGTACTTGCATTTAAAACAGAAGGAGTCTGTTTCCTTCTGGCTGTGATCTGTATATGCTGCTTTTTCCTCCCTTTTTAGAAAAGAGCAGGTCAGAGGCACTTTTTTTAGTCAAGTCAGTGTTTTCTGGTACCAAGGGGTGAGATTTATTTTATTTTTTTTAGCAGAGTGAAAACTCATCAGTTTCTAAAAATTGAGGCTTTCTGATCATTTACATCCTAAATTCCTCTCTTTAGTCTTAGCCAGGCTGTTCCATGGCTTTGATATGGAGGGAGCTATGAAATGCTGCATTTGTTAGGCAAGAACATGTTGCTCATAATCCCTGCTCTCTAGCACAGAGGATGCACAAAGCTGCAGTGATGTGGGTCCATCCCATCCCTCATCCCTTGAGCAGGACCAGTTTAACACAAAAGCTACTTTTTCATGTTTGGGAAGGCTGATCAGGTAAAGAAGGTCCTAACCACAGGGCAGCTGCCTCCCTGACTCTCATGTTTGCTGTTTATTTATTTTGCTTTTGTCAAAAAACTCCAAAGCAGCAACTCACATATTTTCCCTTCTTGCCATTTGATTTGTTTGTTTATTTTTGGGGGATGTTGATAATGTTTAGAGGACTAGGCTGGCAGAAGGATAGCTGCTTATCCCTCCTAATGGGTCCTCTGCTGCCCTCTGAAGTGATGCACTTTCTAAAGGCTGTGCCCTGACCAGGGGCAGTGCTGTGCTGGAAGAGAGCTGCAGTTCTCTCTTTGGGCATGGAGAGGGTTGTGTGTTATCTTCTGGGGCTGTTCCAGCTGGGCTTGTGGCTTTTTCTCAGTGTTCTGTTTCTGTGGCCAAAACGGGTCTCTTCTTCCAGAACAGGTGATGCTGGCAGAGATTCCAGGCCTGGGCTATGCTGACCTGTCAAGCCTAGGAGGTTCTCCTTTCCCCTGAGCTGCCTCTCCTATAACCCCCAGGGTCAGAGATGTGCCCGAGTCCCTGCTAGGGCAGCTGCTGCAGTGTTATTCCAGGCCATCTCCTCCGACTGACACTTTCTCCCTTTTCTTGGTGCAGGAAGAAGCTGACACTGCTGAGGGAGATGCTGGCAGGCTGTGGCGCAGGTACCTGCCAGGTGATTGTCACCACTCCCATGGAGATGCTCAAAATCCAGCTGCAGGATGCAGGGCGAATTGGTATGTGGGCTTCTCTTCCCTGGGTACTGAGCAGCTTTGGGAAAAGGGCTGGGACTGGACTCTCAAGTCAGAAGGGGAGGTAATGAGTGGAGAAAACCCTTTGCCTTGCACCTGCTCTCCTAAGTCAAAGGTATCTCAGGCTGTTTCCCCTCCTCTTCCCAGTTTACTTTCCCCACCCTTTGCTCATCTGGCTTTGCAGAAGCCCTTACAGTTGTAAAAGGTGATTATTATTCTTTTTTGGCAAAACAGTAGCATTGGCAAGTGAAACAGTGAATACTGAGGTGGATGGAAAGAGACAGGAGAGATGACTGGGTGGTCAGCTTGCAGGTGTTTGAAACTTGTTAGTTACTGTGCACCCAAGAGGGGATTAGCATCTTCCAGTGCTTTTCCTGTGGCAGTTCCTCTATCTCATCTTTTCTGACGTCTGTTCTTTCTTGTGGCTCCTTGTCGCACCTCCCTAACAGCTTCCCAATGGGATGTGTCCTTCCCAAATTATTTGTCTTCCCCTTACTCTTTTTTTTTTCTCTTCCTGACAAAAGCAGCAGCTTTTGTAAATAAAGTAAATACAAGAGTAAATAAAATTCTCCCAGCACACTGGATTTGGAAGAGGTTTAGGGTCAGGCTGTGGGGGCTGTGGGCAGGAGCTGGCAGCCAGAGACAGGAGGAAGTGTGAGCCTTTTGTCTGAAGCTTGGGGGCATTTCTGGTGAGAATGGAGACAAGAGTCTGACATGGGGTCTCTGGAGCAAAGGGCTGTTTGCTGTCACCTTTCCAGAGGTCAGCTGGGTGGGGTATTGCCTTGTTCCCCAGGAGCCCCTGTGTGACACCATCAGATACCATGTTTGTGGTCCTTCCTGGAAAATGGGCGAATTTGTCCTTTAATCTCTCTTTGATGTGGCATTCCTGAATAATCACGGATTTATTTTTTCTGTCTTTGCTGTTTTTAATGCAGACCTTATCCTCTTTGTGTGCATTATTTTAAAATGTTCGAAGGAATTAAGCTGTGGTTTCAGGGTTCAGAAGAGGTTTTCGCTGCTGTGAACAGCTTGTTCCCTATGCGGCAAGAGGCCTGTGGTGTGCTGGTGGCAGCCAGCGGGTTGCCTGCAGGTTGATGTGCTCTCCATCTTCTGGCCAAAGAGCAGAAATGCATCAGTGTGAAAAGGCTGGGAAAACCAGGTTGAGTTTATAAACGTGGCTGGGGAACTCCCAGGTTAATGATTGCTTTCAAGAGAAGGAGGCAAAGAGCAAAACTGTTGAACCTCTCTTGTTTATGAATATCTTTATTTTGTCCTACTGGGGGCTCGGGGACATAGTTGGAAGCAGTTACCATCCTCTGCCTGCTCATGGCATTTCCTTTTCTCTGTGCTGTGGAAGTCATGTGTGACAGGCTGCTCCTGCTTAGGTAAAACCAGTCAGTAGGAGAGTGCAGTGGGCAGTGTTGTGTGGCAGCAGCTAGCTCCCACACTGGGACAGGCTGAGGGAGATGGGCTGAGTGGGAGCAAGTTTTCAGGGCACCTGGCTGGCCTCAGTCTGCATGCTTGATGCGCCAGTCTGCCTCTTCCTCCTCATCCCATGGCACCAGGCAGCAAGAGACTGCTGTTGAGCATCTTGCAGACCACTTCTCTCTCTGCTCCTCCCCAGCGGCACAGAAGAAGCTGATGGCAGCGCAGGCCCAACTCTCCTCTTCCGCTGCGACGAGGGTGGCAGAGCCAGTGGTGGAAACGCGCACCACAGCAACACAGATAACAAGGGAGCTGCTGCGGAGCAAAGGCATCGCAGGACTCTACAAAGGCCTGGGAGCCACACTGCTAAGGTAGGATAGAATCATAGAATAGTTAGGGTTGGAAAGGACCTTAAGATCATCCAGTTCCAACGCCCCTGCCATGGGCAGGGACACCTCACACTAAACCATGTCACCCAAGGCTCTGTCCAACCTGGCCTTGAACCCCACCAGGGATGGAGCATTCACAACTTCCCTGGGCAACCCATTCCAGTGCCTCACCACCCTAACAGTAAACCCATTCCATTCACCACCCTTACAGTAAAGAACTTTCTCCTTACATCCAATCTAAACTTCCCCTGTTTAAGTTTTAACCCATTACCCCTTGTCCTATCACTACAGTCCCTAATGAAGAGTCCTTCCCCAACATTCTTATAGGCCCCCTTCAGATACTGGAAGGATGGCATGGGTTTGAGCACGGCAGTGTTCCCAGTCTTGAACCTAAAGCACGAGCCATCCAGGGGAAGAGCCTGCAAAAGGGGCTTTGCTTCAGGGTTGTGGGTTTGATTTGGCTTAGTTTCCATGTGCAGGTTTTGCATATTACTGAAGGGAAGGTCAGGGAAGCGAGGGAGGCTGCCTTTTTGTTCCAGGAAGATTTAATTCTCCTGCTTTCTTTGGAAGGTTTTATTTTATTCCCACATGGCCCATATTTTAACAATGTAGAGAAGTCCTTGTGAGCTATTGAATCAGAACTGTCAGCCTGAGTCTCCAGAGTGCAAAACAGGTTCTGGCCCATGAAGCATGTTGAATGCAAGGGTCGGTATCTGCTCTGACACTCTTCACCCTTTCACAGAGTGACTTTCCTCTTCCTAAAGGCAGTGCTAAAGCAAGGCTCAGATGGGGCAGGATGCAATCCTCTTGATATAACAGAAATGTTGAAAATCGGGGAGAGGCCATTGACTCAGCAGGACTCTCCCTCCCATGGGCCTGTTGTATTTTTGCAGTCAGTTTTGCCCCTGCTGAGTTTTGGCTGCTGTTTGCATTGCAGTTGCAGAGCTGCGTTGTCTGTGTTGCACTTGTGGCTGGTGCTGCCAATGCACGATGCTTGCAGCCCTTCCTTTGATGTTCAGTTTGTTGGTGTCTCACTCTGACTTTACTCATCTTTACTCTTTTTTCCCTTCTTCACTCCCAACCACAGGGATGTCCCGTTCTCCATTGTTTACTTCCCACTGTTTGCAAACCTGAACAAGCTGGGCCAGAAAGACCCCAATGTCAAGGCTCCGTTCTACGTGTCCTTCCTTTCCGGATGTGTGGCTGGCAGTACAGCTGCGGTGGCTGTCAATCCTTGTGATGGTGAGTCCAGAGCACCCTGTGCTGGTGATCTGGTGCCAGGTGCCAGGAGACAGAAGCAGACTAGTTGAGGAGGAGAGTGATTGTACCAGCCTCTTCGCAGCATGAGCACACAGGGAGGTGCAGATGGGGACCTCTGCTGTCTGAGCTGCCTCCAGCTCAGATGGTGGTTTCTTAGCTGTGCTATACCTTTGGCCACAGCTTACACAGAGGTTTGCAGTACTCACTAGGTAAGTCAGGAAAAGGATGTCATCCATTTCAGTCATTCACAGAATCATAGAATCATAGAATATTTAGGGTTGGAAAGGATCTTAAGATCATCCAATTCCAACCCCCTGCCTGGGCAGGGACACCTCACACTAAACCATGTCACCCAAGGCTCTGTCCAACCTGGCCTTGAACACTGCGAGGGATGGAGCACTCACAGCTTCCCCGGGCAACCCATTCCAGTGCCTCACCACCCTTACAGTAAAGAATTTCTTCCTTATATCCAATCTAAACTTCCCCTGTTTAAGTTTTAGCCCGTTACCCCTTGTCCTATCACTACAGTCCCTAACGAACAGTCCCTCTCTAGCACTCTTGTAGGTTCCCGTCAGATACTGGAAGGCTGCTTTGAAGTCTCCATGCAGCCTTCTCTTCTCCAGGCTGAACAGCCCCAACTTTCTCAGCCTATCTTTATACAGGAGGTGCTCCAGCCCCCTGATCATCCTCGTGGCCCTCCTCTGGACTTGTTCCAACATTCTTCTCAGGAATGGCTGCGAACATGCCCCTGAAAAGGCACATTTCCATGTGGAGTGATAGTATGCAAATAAGAATCATGGGCAGCCAGATCAGACCTCAGATATATGGCCTTTTCTCCTGCTCCACAGCATTTGCCTTAAGATGCCACCTTGGTTTCTCTGATGTGAAAAACATCAGAACGTAAATCCTCTCTGCAACATTGCACACACTCCAAGGTGTGAAGAAATGTAAGAGCAGCGTCATATGTTTTAGATACTTCCTGAGAAGGAACTGAGTATTTGAAGATCAGTTCCCACTTTGCAGAAGGATATCTGAATCTGGAAGTGTTTAAAGCTTAAGTCAGCCTTGGAAACCTTGGTCACAGTGAGAGGACGTGGTTGGGGTTTGGGTGGCTGTGATTTATTTTTTATCAGTTTGTAAAGAAATGGTTTGGTTTCACTTTTTTTGTGCTGATAAATGTATGAAAATGGTCTGTGGTTTTGGTGATTTGGTTTTGACTGTGTTTCAAAGACGTTAGTCTCAGGGTGGCTCTTCCCTGCTGAAGAGCATGCTACATTCCCAGTGCTCACTCCTGTCTCTCTTCTCTCTTTTTTCCCAGTGATCAAAACACGGCTGCAGTCCTTGCAGAGGGGAGTGAATGAGGACACCTACTCAGGAATCCTGGACTGCACCAAGTAAGCCTCCTTGTGAAGCAGGCTACTGTACCAGATGTATGGCACCTTCTGCTGCCTGCTGCCAGGCAGTCAGTGCAGCTTCTAGCCCCCCAACCAGCAGCTTCTCTGTTTTGATTTCCTTCTGAACATGTGCTTTTATCTATCTATATGGATAGATGTATATATATATGACCAGATATATACTGTTCATGTATATTTTTCCTATTTTGAACAAGGTAAATACAGCATTTATATTTAAATGCTTCTATCCAAACCCCAGCAGTCATAACAGTGAGATTTTATTTTTGCAAAGGGAGGCAAGTGGTTGTCTCTTCTAAGGCCCTGTTGCCTGAAAATCCTACAGCATTATGTCCGTATTCCTCCTGGGACCACTCTGAGCAGCTGCAGAAGTGCTGTCTGAGTGGGCTGTCCCCAGCTGCACTCTTCTCTGACCCTTTGCAAAACTGGGGTCTCACTGCTTCAGAACATGAAGGGCGTTTCAAGACACAAGTGCTCAATACAGCTTCTGTGTATTGCTGCTGTTGGCAGAGTCTCTTGCGATATGGCTGTCCCCCATACTGAGGATTGGAGTTGGCCCCAGCTTTTGAACAGGGGGACCTCTTGATGCAAGCATGGGGTTGTCTTAGCTGTACATCTAGACCCAGGCAGACACTCTTGCTCCTGGCCAGATGTAAGGATGGGGCACATCCTTGCACAGTCTTTTGCAGAGCACTTGGTGATGGTGGATGATCCACTGTGGAGGCAGTGCCAGGTGACAGTGTTTGCCTGGGTTTGCTCTCTGGAAGGAGGCAAAAAGGCCAGGGCATGGCCAGAAGTTCTGCTGGTGTGGTGGGATGGACACTGACCTGTGTGTGCCATTTCTCCCCAGGAAGATCTGGCAGAAGGAAGGGCCCACGGCCTTCTTGAAAGGGGCATACTGCCGAGCCCTGGTCATTGCTCCTCTCTTCGGCATTGCACAAGTTGTCTACTTCATTGGCATCGCAGAGTTCCTGCTCGACATGCTCCCCAAGCATCGGGCCTAGCCCCAGCACATCTCTGTGTGCCCTCCTGCCCTCTGCAGCGCTGAATTCATCCCCATGTTCATCATCCATGTCAACTGATGTCAAAGCAACAGCACAAAGGGTTCGCGCAGGGATGCTGAGGGAATGTCTTCTCCAGATGAGCAAACACAGTGAGGGCGATAGTCCCTTTTCTGTCTCAGTCTGGAACCTGCCCCCTCCTGCTCCTTCCACGGACAATACCTGATTATGCATTGTCTTTTATTCCTCTCCTTTCCTTTTTTTTTTGTTTTGTTTTTTTAACTGTTATTCTCAAGGACACTGGTAAGCACAGGCTGGGCTTGCAGACCCAGAATTCTCCTCCCAGCCCTGGGGAGGAAGAGGGATGGGAAAGAAATAGTCTGAATCCTCATCCACTTGGTTCCCCTCTTTCTTCCTAGAGTTGCCAGCTAGCTGATGAGGAGCTGGAGGAGCAGCTGTGTCCTTTCCCCTAAGCCCCTCCTCAGCTCTGTTGGCCTCAGAGGGGAGAGGCAACACTGTGCAGAAGGGGCTCATCTCACTGCAGCCAGGGGCACTGTGGGGTGAGGTGCTGGATCTGGCAAGTTACTTTGTCTGGAAACCTTCACCCCTCATTTCTCCCTTTCTCAAAAATGAGTTGGACTTAAATGTTCTAGGAGATCAGAGGAAGGTAAAGGGCATTGTTACTGTTGGCTTTGTAATTATTTTTGGTTTAAAGCAAAGGGATGTTCCTCCTAACTGTCACAGGCGCATCCAGGTGAGGTACAGAGATGAGATGTCTGCTTTGTAGGGAACACATCAGTGGGATCACACAAAAGTCTGAAGGTGCTTCCCTGCTTGGCTACAGGCAGGGGGGAAAGAGGAACTTGGGATCAAGTTATTTTTGTTCAGGGAAGGGGGGTGGGTTGGGTGTTTGGGTTTTTTTTTCAATGCAGGGGTTGTGGGGTGGCAAAACCAAACGAAGAAACCACTTACATTCCTTCAGCCTGCCCACCCCCAAGTGGCTGCAAGTGTAGATAGCAGATTTTGGGTCTGGTTTTCTCTCCAGCCTGGCCCCAGGTGTGTGAAAGGAGATGCCTGCTCCTCTTCTGCGGTGCCTGACCTCAGGGAGCAGTGCAAGAAATGCTGTGCACCTTGCAGTGTGAAAACACAAGGTCTGGTTGTGCTTTGATGTTTGACGTGGATGTGTTTGGAGCCAGCTGGTGCTGAAGAGACAGAGGGTTCATGGACCCAAGCAAGGAGGTGTTTGTGTGTGTGTGATTGCTGGGTCGAGTCCTCTGCATCATAAAAACTATCATCCTGTTTGCCTCTGGGTGGTGATCGTTGTTTTGTGGCTGAGGGCAAATCCACACCTACAACCTGCTGTGTCAAAGGGACACTGCCTCAGCTAGCATCACTTGCCAGAGGACATCCTCGTTTCAGTACTCTTGGGCTGTGTAATTAATTCTAGCTTAAGTGATATTGTGAGATCTACCAACCCAGTGTGATCTTCTCCATTATTTATTTAATTTGGTGCAATCAACCTGACTTTGGTGTTTAAATTAAACTGGTTGAATTAACTTTTCATTCCTTCTTTTCACTTTGTTCTCCAGGCACTTGCTTGGTATTTGTGTTTCAAATGTGTATTTAAATTAATTAAAAAGAAAAGAAATCCCTGTTTTTAATGTTTAAACAAAACCCACCTCTGTTTCCATGTTCTTGGGTTAGGTTTTTGCAGGACCTCCATGTTGAAGGTCTTCTTCCCTAATGCATCCTTTTTCTCTTAAAATAAGTTATTCTGTGGCTGATTTGTTAGTTGTCAGTTTGCATATGTGAATCATTTTCTTTTTCTTTCTTTGTTTCTTAATGGCTTCGTGTATCTGGGAAGGTATCTGTGTGAAGACTGTGATAAATGCCTGTGTTGTGCTTAGTGCTGTGATGCTGTTCTTGCTCTGCATTTCCCTTGGGTGGATTAGAAGAGAAAGGGGTTTTTGGGGGCCATGGTTTGGGGTTTTTTAGGCGCTCTGTTCCTTGCTGATTTACACAAAATCTTGGCTCATAAAAGTAGTGGGGTTTCTGCTTGCCCTTCTGCCTGCAAGGACTTCCCCTGAAGCTTAGTGCCATGCAGCTGCAGAGGGATGTGTGGAGTACAGGTTTGTATTGTGGGGTTACATTCAGAGGAAAACTTGATGTAGTGAAGGGCTGAGGTCCAGGGAAAGCTCTTGTCCTTTTGGATGCTCTTAAAAACCTCTCTCATCCTCCACGTTAGAGCTGGTGACCTGAAAGGGGCTGATTTTTTAGCTGCTTGGATGTGCCCATGATCCAGGAAGACATGGAGCTCTGTCAGGGGATAGTCACTGTACCCCCATGGAGCACCGCAGGCAGGCAGGAGTTTAATTTAAACTGAGAGAATATCTGTCAATTCTGGATTAACAGAAACCTCTTAAGGATTGTTTGCAGTACTGAGGAATAAAAGTAGCTAAATACACTTGGAGAAACTCATGTCTGCTCCCCTCTCTGTGGGTGCCACTTTTCCCTGGGGCAGGGAATAACAGCCAGCATAGGCTCAACTCCTTGTGCATCCTACCCTGTCCCCATCCCTCTGGCAAAGGTCCACTGAGCCCAGGCCCTTTGCAGTCATACCTTATCCCATGTCAACCCTGTCCCTTGCTGCTGCCCTGACCGTGATTCTTGTGTGTGGGTTTTGTGCTGTTTACTGCTCTTAAATACAGTTTGGTGGAGGTGCTGTACACCCTGTCATAGATTTAGGCAGGTGTGTCAGTTCGGGCTGGGGAAATTACCTGCAACACAATGAGAAGAATTCCTAAATCCCTGAGGGGAAATTGCTACAAAGCACAGGGGAACTTCCCTGGCAACCAGTAGGGGAATTCCCAGAATCATAGAATAGTTAGGGTTGGAAAAGACCTTAGATCATCAAGTTCCAACCCCCCTGCCATGGGCAGGGACACCTCACACTAAACCATATCACCCAAGGCTCTGTCCAACCTGGCCTTGAACACTGCCTGGGATGGAGCATTCACAGCTTCCCTGGGCAACCCATTCCAGTGCCTCACCACCCTAACAGTAAAGAACTTTCTCTTTATATCCAATCTAAACTTCCCCTGTTTAAGTTTTAATCCATTGCCCCTTGTCCTGTCACTACAGTCCCTAATGAAGAGTCCATACCCAGCATCCCTGTAGCCCCCCTTCAGACACTGGAAGGCTGCTATGAGGTCTCCACGCAGCCTTCTCTTCTCCAGGCTGAACAGCCCCAACTTTCTCAGCCTGTCTTCATACGGGAGGTGCTCCAGTCCCCTGATCATCCTCGTGGCCCTCCTCTGGACTTGCTGCAACAGTTCCGTGTTCTTATGTTGAAGACACCAGAACTACACAGAGTGCTTCAAATGGAGAACTACACAAGAGCAGAATAAAGGGGCAGGATCACCTCCTTCGACCTGCTGGTTACGCTGCTTTTGATGCAGCCCAGGATACGGTTGGCTTTCTGGGCTGCGAGTGCACACTGCCTGCTCATGTTCATTTTCTCATCGACCAGTACCCCCGAGTCCTCTGCAGGGCTGCTCTGAATCTCTTCTCTGCCAAGCCAAAGGCCTCTGTGCCTGCCCCTTCCTTGCTTTTGAGGCCTGGCATCACCGGTGGGAACCCCCATGGGGCTCTCATCCTTTTGCAATGCCGTAAAAAGCATCCTTTGCAGCACTGACACACACACGTGGGGCTGATGCAGGATCCCAGGGTTGGTTTTCCTTCTTTTTTCCCCTTCTTTTTGTTTGCATAGATCTACAGAGCCACCTTCGCCTTCATGGCTGTTGGGCCTGCAGCGCTAGGTGCATCGGGAGCAGGTGCAATGCCAGGAGCTTCCCGGCTTCACAGGGAAAGGGAGTGCCTGGAAAACCGGCTCCTGAGCAGGGAGCCCTACCCTCCTGGTGTTTGCTTTCATTTCCCATTGGTTTACCACATGCCCTGAAAGTGACAACTGGGGCAGCCTGAGAGAAGGATTAAAATAGTTTCTGGTCTATGATGTTTCATGCAGGTGTGGGAGTTTCCAGGCCAGAGGCCAGCCCCGCGCTCCTTGGGCTGTGCTATCAGATGCACCTGGGAAACCCCAGCGGCAGGCGCAGCTGCGTTCGTGCTAAGCCTGAGCACATCCCCAGTGCCTGCCTGCCCTGTGCTCCTTGCAAACCAGTGTGGTTCGGTTTTGGGATGCAGCCATCCTGCAGCAGCACTTCTGGGGCCACAGCATGGGGTTCTGGGAGCTTCTCCCCTCAGCCTGGGGCCTGCTCCTACTGCTGTGTCCCAGGGCTGTGCAGGGATTTTGAATTTCCAACCCAAATCATTCTTTGTGTCCTGATCACTGCTCAGATTGGGCTGGGTATTGTCAGCGGGTAGTATTCTCTTCCTTTGTTATTTCCATTATTATTATTATTGGTGGCAGCAGCAGTGGTTTGCATCATACCTTACTTACTGGACTGTTCTTATCTCAACCCGTGGGAGTTACATCCTTTCGATTCTCCTCCCCATCCCTCCAGGAGCAGGGGGCAGGAAGGAAGAAGGGGGTAAGTGAGCAAGCACCTTTGTAGTTCTGAGTTAGCGGCTGGGCTTAAACAACGACAGTTCTTTGTGGCTGAATATGGGTGGAGCAGGATGTCCTGCTGGGGGGCAGAGAATATAAAACTAATAGGGCAAAAAGAATACAATAACCAGCAGTGATGCACAATACAACGGCTCACCACCTGCCGGCCAATACCCAGCCCGACCTGAGCAGTGATCAGGACACACAGAATGGTTTAGGTTGGAAGGGATCTTAAAGCTCATACAGTTCCAACCCCCTGCCGTGGGCAGGGACACCTTCCACTAGAGAAATGTTGCTTCAAGCCCCGTCCAACCTGGCCTTGAACACTGCCAGGGATGGGGCAGCCACAGCTTCTCAGGGCACCCTGTGCCAGTGCCTCAGCACCCTCACAGGGAAGAGCTTCTGCCTAATGTCCAGTCTGAATCTCCTCTTTCAGTTTAAAGCCATTCGGCTTGTCCTGTCCCTAGAGGCCCATGTCCGAAGCCCCGCCCCAGCTTTCCTATCGGCCCCTTTAGGCATTGGAAGTGCTCTAGGGTCTCCCGGCGCGCCCCCTCTCCTCCAGCTGAACTCAGTTCATGCAGCCAGGAACGCGGGGGATGTGGGACCAGGCTGAGCCTGGGGCATCCCACGGGCTGGCAGGGGAACCTGACTCACGCACACAGACACAGACACACACACGAACACACACATACAGATACACACAGACACACACACACACACACACAGAGACACACAGATACACACACGGACACACACACACACACACACACACACAGTCCCCTCCCCAGCCCCGCGGCCGCCCCGCTTTCACTTTCGAAAAGGTCCTGAGTCACTTTCGGGCTGCTGACGTGTTTTCCAGGAACCCGGCTATAAAGGGGTCGGGCGGGAGGCAGCCGAGAGCTCCCTCCTCGCACCGAGCAGCGGGCGCGCCGCGGCACCATGGCGAGCGATGGGTAAGCAGCGCCCCAGCACCCCCTACCCCGGTCACCGGCCCCCGTGGCCCCGGTGGCGCCGCTGACGGCCCCGCATCCTCAGGGACGCCCCGAAGCTGCGGTTCGTGCCCTGGCTGCTGAACGCCGTGACCAGCGGGATCTACCAGGGGCTCTGCTGGACGGACCGGGACCGCGGCGCCTTCCGCGTCCCCTGGAAGCACAACTCCAGGAAGGATGTCACCAGCAGTGACCGGGAGATCTTCAAGGTCGGTGGGATGGGGGCTCACCAGAAGCAACCCCCAGGTGCTCGGGGTGGGTTGGGTGAGGGGGTGACCAGAGCAAGCTCAAGGTATTCAAAGTGGGTGGGATGGAAGGAGTGGCCTGCAGCTACCTCAAGGTCTTTAGGGTGGGTGGGATGTGGGAATTGGTGATGGTATCTCTGCAACCTCTATGCTCATGGAGCCACGGTGCCCGTGGGCACCTCCCCTCACCCCCAGGAATGGGCACGGGTGAGCGGACGGTATGAGGAGTACCCTGAGAACCCAGTCAAGTGGAAGACCAACTTCCGCTGCGCCCTGAAGAGCACCCGAATGTTCGTGGAGCTGGAGGACCACTCCAAGTGTGGTGATGACCCCCACAAGGTGTTTGCCATTAACAGAGGTGAGCCTGGCCCCATGGGGAGGCCTTGTTGGGGCGATCTCAGGGCCCCCCCACTCACGCTGTTCTCCTTCCAGACTTATGGCATGGCAAGGCAGATTTCAGCAGCCCCAACCCTGTAGCGGACCAGCAGGCGCTGCACCAGCAGTTGCAGGTAACAGGGTGGGCATGGCGGGCTGGAGAGTCACCTGTGCTGCTGACAGGTGTTGCACCCCCATGTCCTTGGGGTGCTCCTGAGCTGGAGCACAGCACCTGACTGAAGCATGGGGCAGGGGGAGGCTGGGTGCCCCCATCCACAGTGGTAAGACCCCATCCCACTTCCCTCCACAGCTGCAGTTCGACCCCCAGGACGTGGCTCCAGAAATTGCTCCCCTAGGTATGTGCTGGTCCCCCAGGATTTTTTCTGCAGGGGGAGTATTCCAGTAGGTTTAGCTGGGATGGTTTGGGGATTGTGCGGCTTCCCACCCACTGTCTCCCCATTCCTACCCCATCCCCTACCAGGCTGTGCTGACCCTCTGCAG